GAATCAAACGACGATTCTATAACATAGCGAATCTAGTACATGTATGCAAAATGAAAAGATCATCAAAATTGCGATACCTTATGATCTAAAGTACAAGACAGTCACGCAATATATTTAGATACGCCTTTCGAAGCACTGCCACATAGGTACTTTCACCCTCATCGGATAAATCTCAAAATCTCAAAGTTGCTTATTTAAAGTTCTAATACGATCACGCAGAAAGAAGTGAACACTCACCTCCATCCTGGGCGGACAACTATGTGTCACATTTTCGTTTAAAAATTAACCATCCTGCTCGAATTGCTTTCAATAACATGATCACCAACCGTACAATTTGCGAAACTAGGGACACGGTTAGGAGAAAGGCGAAAAGAATAGGTATAACACCCAGTAATACTGCTTCTGACGTCAAGAGAATGGAGACATACGGTTCATTAATACCGCTGACGTCACTTCCTGACGATGCAAGGCCAACGTTTAGTACTCCAATAGCGACCAAGGTTGACAAAGAGACGGTTTCGATGACGTTTACGCGAGACTGGGCAAAGGGTCTCTGGGATATATGATGCAACAGGAAAACGAGGCAAAGGATTGTCAGACACACAGAACGCATGAGCGCATGCTCCAACTGCCACCAGGCAATCGCAATTATGAGGAATCGACCACCAATAAGAATGCTCTCCCAGTAGATCCTTCCGTTTGATTGGTCATCTTGTGGCTTTGTAAATGGACCACATAGAACTTCAAGAAGTGAATGTTTAATACATGTGGTAGAATTCGTATCATGTTCTTCGTCGCAAACCGAGCTGGCAGGTGAAGGGATTGCTTGATAGTCTGGTCTCTTGGTCATTTTTTTCTGAACGTAGTTGACGAAAACAAAGAGGAGATAAAAGGTAATATACAGGCCAGTAGAAATATCTTTCCTGAAATCTTGCCTTGATAGAGTTGTAGCGGAGCAAAATACAACGTGAATATAAACGGCACCAAGTACAGGGCAATGACGACGAAAGCAGTTTGTTGCCACCATTGGTGCCAACAACTGAATTGGGCACCGTAATACCAGCGGGACACTTCTTGAATGTTTTACACAGTGAAGTAATTTTACTGTTGTACCAGTCACAGCTGAATATCCTAGCAACACTGTTTCCAGGACAGCTCCAAGGTAAGGACCAGCTGATGGAAGAATCGGCCTGCGTTTACGTAATTTGTTTAGAGCGCTGTGCAGAAGGTAAATATCAGGGATCGAGAAGAAAATGATCACCACTGTCGCCACTTGGAACATTGTTTTTAAGAATGGTGTGAAAATTGGCCAAGGGCAGATCTTCCAGTTGTTATCGGCATATATTTGAAAGTCCAGGAGATTTGCAAATGGCAGTAATAAGCAATGTCTTAACAGATTTCTCACACCATATGAAGAAACGGTCACGACTCCAGCCACTTGATAGAAGTAGAAGATAATTTTTAAAAACCCTTAATTTGGAGGAATAATTTATCCGACTGTGCTCTCCTCGTTGTATCTTGGCATGAACCAAGTTAAATGTTTTCCCACTGCCTCAAACACTGGGGGTTTTCTTACGAGATACAAGGCAAACGATGGCGTGAGTGCGAAAAAAACAACCAAATACCAACTTTGGGTACAGTCTTTCACTCGAACACACTTTGTTGTGAACAGACCCTCCGTGAAATTCTGTTTACATTGTCCGCAAAGAATGCCAGTCCTGTTTCCTTGGCAACCGGAAAGCAGATAGCTATTGTTGTCGTAAAAGCATTTGTTATCAACAGTTGGCAAACAGCAGTAACCATCTGGACAAAGCTGAAAGGTAACAGTGTCGTTGTTTACTGGATAACCCCAAAAGTTGGGCTGGGCAGCAAGAGAAGACGAGCAGTTGCCTCCCGCAGGGCATGGATGACAATTGACGAGTTGCTTGACATTGTAGCCACTTTGTATTTCTCTACGGATACTGTAAGTTCCCACTGGACACCGCTGGGTATTGATCCAAACCAATTCTTTGCTCCCTCCTTCGTGATAACTATCTTTTTGTTGAAGACTTCGCATGTTAAGCTTGGTGTTGATTGGTGAATCGATTTGCACTGAGCCGTCCAAGACACCCTTTCCCGCTCCTTCAACAACAGCGATGGCTTTGCTGTCTGCACTAAAAGGATCCAAGATAAAAGAGCTGTTACGTATTTTGACGGTTTTAGATTGTATTACTGTCAAGAATCCATTAAATGCCACTAAATCTTTGGACTTTTCTCCCACATTATAGACCACTTGAGATTCTGCTGTTTGATGGAAGGTGGTATTCCGCATTGTTAAATTGCCTGGAAAAATTTGTATGTGTGAACTACCCACGCCTCCAAAGTTGTCTATAAAATTACAGTTTAGAATATCGACGGAGTAAACGTTAAGTAGTTTAAGAATGCAATAAATATGTCCAGAGTTGTTACGAAATTCCGTGTTTGTAATGATCGTCCGTATTTGAGATTTCCCGAGTTGCGGCGAAAAAATATATATCACTCCTGAAGAGCCAAGATTGTTTAGGAATGTGCTCTGTTCCAAGTGAAACAAGGTTTTCAAGGCTGTTAAATGAATACAGCTCCATCCATGGCAGTTATTGTTCACAAAGGAAACATTTTTTAAATGGTAGACTGATTGGAATTCTTCAGAAGTGCCGATCAACATGACAAAGTCAATATTATCACTTATAAGGGTGTTCTCCACAAGAAAACTCACAATACCACCCAAACCTTTCCCATTGGTGGTTAGCCCTTCTATTCGTCGGAGCGAATAGAAGGGCTAACGCTCGAAACGTCAGCTTTTGTAATCGTTACGGTGTCCAATTTACCATTTCAACTTTGTTGATATCCAAAAAACTTCCAATATGTTTGAACGCATCTTTGATCCATTTATGTCAGCATAGCGGAGGCAGCACAGCTGCGAAACAACGCTCATTTGCTTGGTTGAGGATTGTAAACAAGCGCTGGATCAAGAAAAAACTGATGGTATACTATCAACGGTCATGAGTAAAGCATTTGAGGGATTCCAACCGACTGTACTTATAGCTAAATTGAAAGCCTATGACTTCTCTCAGATCCAGTGCGGTCTTATTCCAGTGGTCGAGAAAACTGGACAAAGGCCAAGTGACAAGTAGTTGGAGTGGAATTAGCGGGGTAGGAACTCTCCGTCACACTACAATTTTACGAACTCAGACTTCTTCATCTAGAGATATAATACAGAAAGATTTGGGAAACATGCACTAAGATATTTTAATCCATACCCTTCGGTCAAAAATACCTACTAAGGAAAGATCAATAGTATCGTTAAATAATTTAAGTCTAGTTTAAAGAAAGGGACCTGACAACCTTAGTAACTTTGACGTGCACTGACTGTTATCTGTGTAAATCCTGATCTAGTTTGTAGTTATCAAACACATGTAATCGTAACAATACCACCACTCATATGCCGCAATTAGATAATATAGATATACTACAGACTACTATAGAATCCATGAAATAGACCTAGCATTCACTTATTGCATAAGTTTAAAACATTGTAGTACAGACATAATTTCACAGGTACATAATATACATAATTTCATATTACTCGACATATTGTACACAATACACAGAACTCACGAGATAGACGTGACTTTTATTTATCAGATATATATTTAATGCATTTATAGTATTTTCTCATATTTGGTGGGCCTGTGGGTAGGTTTTCGGAACATACAATGATAAACATCATTTATGATACATAGATCATTACACGATATTCACAATATTTTTACAATTCTTGGAATTATTTTTATAATCATATATTATTTTTATAATCATATAATCATTAGATATACCCGTTGTTCTAGTTTATTTTAACCACCTTGTTATAGTGTCCCCGATTAAAAAGCTACTGGTGGCTAGTTAGAAGACTTAGAAACCTAGACACTCTAGTAGTTTGTGTTGTTGTAGTGATCTTGTGAATAACAACAGTGATAGTAATAAATAATACGTCGATACACAAGTGATTGAAAAGTTTGCTGATTGGCTGAAAAAAATCACGAGAGTCTTAGGACGATCATACGACCTTGAAAATAACAGGGTTAAGTCAGATCTCTAAGCGGGGAAGCCCCGATTTTGTTTCTGAGTAATAAGTCACACAATGACAGTTCCTTCGTATTTTTCGAGAATGTCACGCAATGGTAAGCGAGAAAAATCTTAATAGAAAATATTTCTTTACTTTAACATGTCAGTAACCACCAAGCGGAGAAGATATTGTCCATCTTTATTTTTATGATGAAACTATACGACGTCGCGCCACACCTGTGGTGATTATTTGACTTTCAACTGAATTTTCTATGAAATGACAAAAGCAACAACATGTAGTAATCAAAAAATTATGTAAAATATATGCAGGTACGTAGTATAGAGTTAGCTTGGTTTCGTCTCGCGCCGCCATTATAACAAGGGAAGTCTGCTCAGTCCTCGAGGAGCTTGAACTCCACGAATCAAAATCAGTGGCTATTTGAGTCGACAACGGCAATGCGCCAAGGCCTGTACAGTGCAACAAAACAACATCACTGAAAACAGGGCCCCTCTACGAATCCTTCAGCTCTTGGTATAGACAATTTAATGAAACCTTATCCACGCTGCTGGATAGGGCATTCTAGTATCATTAACTGGCTAAGTTTAAAGGCGATATGTTGAGTGGATATAATTGCAAATCATAGAGAGTTTTCACACACCTTTGAAACATATTCCACTCCAAAGAAAAATCCAGAATAACGATGTTAGCTCCATTATGTGAGCCATAAGACATCAAGACATTACAGATCAACTGTTGCTAGCGGCCTTTTTTTCAAAAACAAAATTCACGTGAATTTTCTAGAGAGTGATGTCACGAGACAAAGTGAATAAATTACTGTTCACGGCCGAAGGGTAGCATTTTGATTATTATTTATCCCTCGAACCACGTCATGAATATGGAGATCAAATTACATTCCCCTAAGCCACTCCACCCCATTTCAGTGTTAATTGACTGCTTCGTCTGTCTGCCGCTGCCATTAAAAAAAAACTTTGGAGGCGCATTAAATATGGCGATTGCAAACTGAGAAAATGGTTTGTGCCAAAATTCTTGGAAGTGTGGGATTTTGCAGAGAGCTAAAACTTGATGTTATCTATTCCTTATAATGAACATAATTTCTTGATTTCATCGACTTAACAATTCAATGACTCAAGTCGTGGCGCACTCATTATGCCGCTGTGTCTCTGTAGGCTTTTCAATGACACTTCTTGTCACGCCCAAAGAAAGCGAGGAAGAAAAGGGAAAAGAGTCTTTCTGTTAGTGAAAAGAGTGACTAATGCAACTGAAATATGGGCAAACTGATCTCTCCTCTCTCAGAGAGCAACCATTTTCATCCGCCACGTCTACACATGCCAGTCATATCAAAGCAGCTGAATACACACTTACAAAATACTTCACGGCTATCCAATTCTCCCTACCCCTCCACCATTAAGTTAGAACGCAGTAGGAGTTGGGGTGGAGTGGGGTCAGATTATCTAGCAAAGGCCAAGACCTCTGAAATCATTTGACGCGTAAACAAGCTTTATTAAATACACACTTAATGAATACACACTTCACGGATACAACTTGTTAATTGACTTTCACCTGATAACCTACTTGAGATAAAAAAAGTTAAAGATTAACCTAAAGTGTCCACAGAATTCTTTCTATAGTCTTAAGACAAAACTGAAAATGCGGACACCTAGGAGGTGGGAGAAGGGAGCCAAGGCTTCCCCCGCCAAACACAACCGCACTTCGATTTGCCGCCACATAATACTTCCTAATAACTATTACAATCAAGGATTGTGCAAAAACACAGAAGTCTATAAAAGATCACTCCCATATTCAAATTCTACATGGCTGAAAACAGCCCCCATTTGCTACTTCAGTATCATTTTGTGAAAAGAAAAAAAAAAAAGGCATGTAATACAGCTATTCAACTCTGGCCGAGTTCTCTCATCAAAAATTATTTTTTATCGTGAGGTATTTAGCACACTACCAGATGATTAGGATCACGAAGAAGGCACCAAAAGCTAAGTTTAGTTCTGGAGAGGCCAGAAGTTTATTGCATTTTTGTTTAAAAAACATGAACGAATCACTTTAACTAAAAAGATTACCAATCGCAAAATCTGCGAAATGAGAGACAAGGTGAGAAACAATGCAAAGACCAAAGGTATCACACCCAGTAATACTGCCTCTGACGTCAAAAAAATGGAAATGTAGGCCTGATTCAAACCGATAACGTCATTTCCTACCGATGCAAGGCCAACGTTGAGTACTCCTATAACGACTAAGGTTGTCAAGGAGACGGTTTCGATGGCGTTGACGCGAGACTGGGCAAAGGGCTTCTGGTATATATGATGCAACAGGAAAACGAGGCAAAGGATTGAAAGACACACTGAACGCATAAGCGCATGCTCCGACTGCCACCAACCAATCGCAATTATGAGGAATCGACGACCAATAAGAATGCTCTCCCAGTAGATCCTTCCGTTGGATTGGTAATCTTGTGGCTTTGTAAATGGACCGCATAGAACTTCAAGAAGTGAATATTTGATACTTGTGGAAGAACTCGTGTCATGTTCTTCGTTGTCAACTGAGCTGGCAATTGAAGGGATTGCTTGATAATCTGGTCTCTTGGTCCTGACTTTCTTTACGTAGTGAACGAAAACAAAAAGGAGATAGGGAAAGGGTAGGATGCAGGCTAGTAGAAACATCTTTCCTGAAATCTCGCCTTGATAGAGTTGTAATGAAGTGAAATACAACGTTAATATAAACGGCAACAAATTCAGTGCAATGGCGACAAAAGCAGCTTGCTGCCATCGTTGGTACCAGCAAGTGAATTGGGCATCGTAATACCAGCGGGACACCTCTTGAATGCTTACACAGTGGAGTAATTTTACCGTTGTTCCAGTCACAGCTGAGTATCCTAGCAACACTATTTCTAGGACAGCTCCAAGGTAAGGACCAGCTGGCGGAAAAGTCGGACTGCGCTTGCGTAATTTGTTTAGAGCGCTGTGCAGAAAGTAAATAACTGGGATCGAGAAGAAGATGATCATCACTGTCGCTACTTGGAACATTGTTTTTAAAAGTGGTGTGAAAATTGGCCAAGGGCAGATCTTCAAGTTGTTGTTGGCATATACTTGAAAGTCCAGGAGATTTGCAAATGGTAATATTATGTATTTTGTCAACAGATTTCTCACACCATATGAAGAAACGGTCAGAACTCCAGCCACTTGATAGAAGTAGAAGATTATTTTTAAAAACCCATAATTTGGAGAAACACCATTCCTGACTGTGCTGTCCTCTCTGCGCTTTGGAATGAACCATGATATATGTTTTCCAAGTGTTTCAAACACCGGGGGTTTTCTAACGAGATAGAGGGCAAACGATGACGTGAGTAAGAAAAAAACAGCCAAATACCAACTTTGAGTACAGTCTTTCACTCGAACACACTCTGTTGTAAACAGGCCCTCAGTGAAACTCTGTTTACATTGTCCGCAAAGAATGCCTGTCCTGTTCCCTTGGCAACCGGAAAGTAGATAGCTATTGTTGTAGTAAAAACATTTGTTATCGACAGTTGGCAAACAGCAGTAACCTTCTGGACAAAGCTGAAAGGTAATGATGTCTTCGTTTATAGGATAACCCCAAAAGTTGGGCTGGGCAGCGATAGAAGAAGAGCAATTTCCACCAACGGGGCATGGATGACAAATCACAGGCATTTTACTTAATCCTCTTCGTGTTCCCCTGTGGATACTATAAGTTCCCTCAGGACATCGTTCGGTGCTAAATGTAACCGACATGGTGACTTGTTTAGCTCCATCGACGGATTGTTTGATTTGCGTAAGATTACGAAGATTAAGTTTAGTGTTGATCGGAGATTCAATTCGGACAGAGCCATCCAACAGTCCCGGGCGAACTCCTTCTACGACAATGAGAACTTTGCTGTCTGCACTGAAAAAATCCGAAGAAAACAAACTGTTCCGTATAAGCACCTTTTCAGAATTTGTCACTGTCAAAAATCCATTGTATGGCGCCACATATTTGGAAAGTCCTCCCGCAGTTTCAAAAACTTGTGAATCGTCAAACTGTTTAAAGGTGATATTTCTGATAGTCAACTTTTCTAAGCATAGCTGCACGTTTGCGTGGGAACCACCCATACCACCAAAGTTATTTATGAATTCACAATTTTGAATTTGAACTGTATTAACGTTGAGCAGTTTAAGGATGCCTTCGGCTCTTCCAAAATTACCTCGGAATTCAGTGTTATTGATGATCACCCGGTAGTAAGCTGTCGCTTTGACAAAAAAGCTCGGATCAATGTACACTATTCCATTTTCTCCAAAATTATTCAGGAACGTGCTCTGATCCAAGTGAAATGAACCATTACTAAACGAGTTTATTACTTGTAAAACGGTACAATAATATGACCCAATACAGCTATTGTCGACAAAAGAAACGTTTTTTAAGAGGATAATCTTATTTGAGACTATCAAAGAAAATTTGACATTTTCACTTATCATGGTGTCCTCCACGAGAACATTCCCTGAGCAGCTAACATGTGTAGCACGGTAGTTACACATGTATATATATATTCCACCACCAGAATTTCCGTGAATTTTACAGGAGCTTATCACCATGAAATCGATACCATCTATGAAGATGTCGTAACCTTCACTATTATTAAATTTACGACTGTTGTTGACAAAGGTCAGGTTTTGTAGTGTCACTTGTGGCTCAGGTAAGAGTTGTGGACGTTCAACGTTCAGAGCAAGAATGCTAGTACGTGCACCATAATTGCCGAGAAATTCACAGTTTCGAATTTCCACGCTCCAAGTGAGTTGGTCCACCTGGGCATAAATGGCTCCGGTAATATCTGTAAGGTTGACTTCAAATCCCTGATTATATGAAAAAGTGTTATTGACTAGTGATAAGTTACCCATGTGTGACACGAACAATGCCAAGGCGCCCCCTCCTTCTGAAATGGAGGAAGAGTGGAATCTATTGATCAATGCGTTGTTTATAAAATGTGAGCCATGAATACTTATTGAGGGAGAACTGTTGATCTTTGCGAGGGTGAATCCTATAGCTATCGCGCCAGCTGACGCCTGTGCTTCGTTTCGTACAAACTGACAATCCTCTACATTCAGTAAAAGTGACGACATTCCCCAGAATACGCATGCGCCGCCAAATTTGTTTAAATTGAAGTTTGAACTGAGCAGCCAAACTGAAGCTTCCTTTGTGAAACTGCTTACTTCAGCTGCCCCACCATTGTTCTCAGAGAACAATGTTCTTTTGATTTTTAGATCAACTGAGTTTCCATCATGGATTTGGACGGCCCTGCCTGTATTTTTTCGAAACTGTGTCGACTTGAAATCAATGCACCCGTTTGAAAAGCCATGAAGTTCCAAGATGTTTTCTCTAGCCATATTGTTTTCAAAAACTACTCTCTCCATAACGATAACTAAGTCAGGTCCATTCATGCCAGCAAAAACCTGAAAGCACGCTTGACCTGAACAATTATTTTGCGACACTGTTATATCGGTAAAATTAGCTTTGATACTGCTCTTATCTGCTTGTATGTTTTGAATAGACATGTCAAGTATGGCATCGTCTTCACTGCATAACTGGTTGCTGATGAATGTAGAATTCGAAACGTTCAAATCAACGGAAGAATTTCCATAAATTGTAACACTACTAGCGCTGTTATTCTGAAAGGTACATCCATGCATTTCAACACTTCTCATCATAAAGTATTCATCAAATTTCAAGATTAATGTAGGAACAGAGCTGTTTATAAAGCTGCAGGCGGCCATGTTTAAGGAACAGTCAAAGATATGAATTGAAGTATTAACGAAAGTAATTTCCTTTAAAAAGACTCCTCGAAAAGCCATGCCGCAAAAAAACCGAAATCCATTCGTCTTGCAAGAAATAAATGCTCGACTCCTGTAGCTTCGTACAACTAAACCAGGAAGATCCAATCGTTTCTCGTTCCCGCATGGATAAGGATCACGTGATGTTCCTGTGCCATCTATATTGATTATATCACCATCAAGCGCATGCATAGTAACTTGCTGAATAGTTTTACATGGCGATGACGCATTGAACCCGCAGTTACTTTTAGAGGTCCCGTCGTGTTCCGAGACAAACCACTGCTTGGCATATCCGTGGATACTTTCTAATAAATAAGAACAATATGAATAATTATTTTTCTAGCTGACAGCACCCATGAGGAACATTAAGCGAATATTATGTTCTGATTGGCTACCCGAGCGGGCAAAATGGGCCCATCTCTCGCGCCACTCTGTCAAGTTGACGAATAAACGGGAAAGCGTTCCTCAAAAATTGCGTTGACTTTTCTCGTCATTAAAGGCCTATGGTGTTTATATAATTGGATTCTGATTATTTTAAGAGGAAGAGAACTAACTGAGGCGAAAAGTTAAAATAGTAACTTTCCGACTACCGTCATGTTCTCAACGCGACTGTTTTTGAAATGAAAATTAGCAAACCTACGTCACGCAACGTCACGCAATTTGTTATAGATTATGTCTCAAACGATTGTAGACGGGTTGAAATAGAAGACCGCACCTTCTGTTTATGACTTTCTATGGTTATGATCGTTGTGTGGCTGTTTTAACCGATTGAGAAATCACGAGACTGCTTTGTGATACAGGAAAGTCTCTCCACTTCCTATTTCAGTGTTTAAGCTGACGTACTCAACGATGGGGCTTGAACTCCACGAATCGAAACCAAGGTCTATTTTAGTAGACAACAGCGATGTGCCAAGACATGTACAGTGAAACAAAACGACATCAGTGCAAACAGGACCTCATTCGAATCTTTCAGCTATTGAGAATTTATCAAAACCTTACGACGCCGCTGGATATTGTATCTTAGTATCATTAACTGGCTAAGTTTAAAGGCGTTATGTTAGGTGGACATAATTGCAAATCATAGAGAGTTTTCACACACCTTTGAAACATATTCCACTCCAAAGAAAAATCCAGAATAACGATGTTAGCTTTATTATGTGAGCCATAAGACATCAAGACATCAGTGATCAACTGTTGTTAACGACTGCTTTTCGAAAACAAAATCCACTCGATATTTCGAGATAGTGATTACTTCATTCGAATGTCACGAGACAAGATGCATACATTATTGGTCACGGCCCACGAACCACAAGCTTTGCTGAANTCGTGTGCGTTGAAATCTTCATAAAAAAACAGCTTGATACACAGAAGGGAGATTGCTTTTACATGGTTTTCCGTCAGGATTGAGAAGAGCGTTACCACCTTTAGCGAGTGTTTTGATGAGTGTAAGGCTATCGGCGAAAAACACTTTCTTCGACGATAATGTTTCTTTATTTGAATTTCCAGCACATCGTAGGAGTGTAGGAGTGTCGAACACAGAAGAATTATGGCCAATTTAAACGGTGTGACAATGCGTACTGCTGGAAAGGAAAGTGGTAAAAGATTGAAGACATTCGCTCAGGAGTGTACTGGAACATTCTCTTTGAGCAAAGTTCTCTCACCATTCACAGTTTTGACAGTGACTTGTTTACACGAGAAGCGTAGCCGTTGATATTGCATGTAGGTAGCGCCTATTTAGTGTTCCAGAAACCAGCCACGATATGGGAAAATAGCTCCTACGATCGCGATCGTGTTTGCGGCCGGGTTCACGCGTATTTTGGTCACCTGAGAGTGTTGCAGCTTTCCGTTTTTGAAACACACTACTAATAAAGTTAGAAGAAAGTGTAGGCAGCCCACCTAGAGGCGTAAAACATAGTCCACTAGGGAGATGAAATAATGATTCTGGCCTAAGCGCGGCGGCCATGTTTGTTTGTTTGTGTTTTTCTTTTTTGCAACTTTTAAAACTCCCGGGTAGATTAGAACCCAGTCTGCGCGCGCCAAAGAAACTATATCTAGCCTCCTTAACTCGTGGATAGTAGAACTAGATTGAGTTATTGAAGTATCATCAGCAAACATAGTAAGAGTAGTGTTCTGTGCGAGAAATAAAGGGAAGTCATTGATGAATAATAGAAAAAAAAGAGGACCAAGAATGCTTCCTTGTGGAACACCGATAGATACAGGCAGAGGGTCAGATAGTGTACTCTTAAAGTTAGTACATTGAAAACGGTCAGAGAGATAAGAAGCAAACCACTGAACAGTGGAGGATGAACAGCCTTAGATTTGAAGTTTTGAAAGAAGAATGCTATGATTTACGAGGTCGAACGCCTTTTTAAGATCGACTAGCAAGAGCCCATTTAGGACTCCGGTGTCCATATTGTCGAGGAGACGATCGATAAGATCAATAACAGCAAGCTCGCAGGAGCGAGACTTTCTGAAGCCAAACTGGGAGTCAGAGAGCAGGTCATTTTAAGTAAGAAAGTTATGAAATGAAATGTGGACATGGCGTTCAAGAACCTTAGAGAGAATAGCAAGAACAGAAATGGGTCGATAGTTAGAGCGGTCAAATAGACAACCGTCTCTAAATAGAGGCGATACTTTGGCGTTTTTCCAAAGATCAGGAAAAGAACCGGATGAGAGGCTAAGATTAAAAATTGTTGTTAGAGAAGACGCAATAGAAGGAGCCGATAATTTCAGAAAATATCCACTAAGTCCATCTAAGCCTACGGCTTTCCCAGTACGTAGATGACGAAGACTATCAAGAACAAAGGTAGATGTAATTGGAGGTATGGTAAAAGAAACTCCCAGTGGAAGCTTGGACCTAACGAAGTCCTTCAGGTAACCCCAGTTGGGAGTCGTACTTGCTTTTTTGTTAAGCGCAACCGAGGAGGCAAAATGACAAAATGACAAAATGAGCATTGAACAAGTTCGCAATATCAATATGACTATCATAAATTACTCCACCAACCAACAGATGGCTTGGAAGATTGGAACATTGAGAAGGAGCCAAGTTGCGGATTATTCTCCATAAGTTTCTAGGGTTATCAAGATTGCAGTTAATGTAATTACGATAGAAGTGGCAAAGTGGTTTCTTTTTAGAGAATTTACTTTTATCAACCAAGTTGATAATAGAGACCTTAAGATCGAGGTTTGGCTATCTCACCACAAACAGCAAACAGCGGTTTGCCGTTAGCGGTTTCACGTTAGCCTTTCTGCCCATATTTGGGACTTAAGATTCGCGTGTGGTAGAACTGAGGAGTTATGGGAAATTAGTATAAAGACATGATGGCTGTTACCCGAAGGTAACATGTGTTGGATTAATGTCAACGAACGCTTTTCATTCCACTAATTTATTTGTGTTTTTCTCGTTGCCATGTTCCCACCAATAACGTAGCTCCATTTTCTGCCTTTAAAAGCACACACAACCCACAATTCCTCTATTTGCTCCGACGAAGGGCTAACGCTCGAAACGTCAGCTTTTCTAATCGTTACGGTGGCCAATTTACCATTTCAACTTTGTTGATATATCCAAATTATGTGGATTAATGTGTTTGTTGGATTTTATTGATTACTTAATGAGAGCAGAACACTTAGTCTTTGATCCTCTTTAAATTAGGAAAGACTACAAAGATCTGCTGGACATTATCGTGCAGCTGGAAGATAGTAGCTCTGAAGGTTTGTTGTCGCGCAATGAAGATCTCGATTTCTTATTTCTTGAAGCAGCATTGTATGCTTGCCCATCTGAACAGAGCCATTAAGGAAACAAAATTAGCATTCATGCATTCACATATCATCGGAGATTGGCTTTTGTTTAAACTCAAATTAATCCGACCGGCAAAACAGTTTTAACAACAAATAACCAGCCGCCATGTTTGTTTTCATTCATTCGTTCACTTCTAATTTAGCTAAGAAATCGTCTTCAAACTTACGTTTCTAAGAAAAAGAATCCGATAATTAATAAGCGAAAGAGTTCTTAAAAGTAGTTTTTCCTCTCAAACGTAGGATTTTGATGTTTTAGGGTGCAAAAAACCTTGCGATAAATCACTTACCTCTCGAGCGTGGTCCAGCCGTACAAAACGTGAACCTGAAACTGCAAACCTGACGACAAGGCACTAGTCACGTGACTTCTTGACGTCCGCGGTTCGCGGGAAATGCCTAAAAATCTCGATCTTAAAGTCCCTAATGTAAATTGGCCACCTTAAAGAGTTAAAAGCTGATGTTTCTAGCGTTAGCCCTCCGTCTTTCGCTCTGACGATGGGCTAACGCTCGAAACGTCAGCTTTTTAACTCCTTACGGTGGCCAATTTCCATCATCAACTAGGGCTGATAAAACCAAATTACATTGCTACCCCCACTGACGCATTACCATAGCTTATATAGAAAATTACCTCCATTTATTGGTTTGTTTTTACCTTTGTGTACAGAGATCTTTACTTTCATGATCCCTCCTTCCACTTTCGTCCGCCACGCATAGGAAAGCAGCTGAATGCACACCTAAAAACTGATACTTCCCGCTCAACCATTTCTCCCTACCCTTCCACCGTTAAATTGCAGCGCAGTAGAGGTTTGGGTGGGGGTCAGATGATCTTGTAGCAGCAAAGACATCTGAGATCATTTGGCGCGTAAACAAACTTTAATACAAACACACTTTAAGGATATAAAATGTCAATTGACTTTCAACTAATAATCTACTTGAGGCGGAAAAAAGTTAAAGATTAACCTAAAAGTGTCCACAGAGTTCTTTCTATAATCTTAGGACGAGACTGAAAATGCAGACTCGTAAGAGGTGGGAGAAGGGAGCCGAGGCTTCCCCCGCCAAACACAACGGCACTTCGATGATGCTTCCTAATAACTATTACAATCAAGGATTGTGCAAAAACACAGAAGTCTGTAAAAGACCACTCTCATATTCAAATTCTACGGGGCTGAAAACTACCCCTATTTGCTATTTCAATATCATTTTGCAAAAAATAAAGGCATGTAATATTTGTTTTCAACTCTGGCCGAGTTCTCTCATCAAATTTTTTTTCACCGTGATGTATTTAGCGGCACAACCAGATCATCAGGATCACGGTGAAGGCAGCAAAAGTTCAGTTTAGTTCCGAGGAGGCCACTAGTTTATTGCATATTTGTTTAAAGAATGACCATCATGAGCGAATCACTTTAATTAAAAAGATCGCCAATCACAAAATCTGCGAAGTGAGAGACAAGGTGAGAAACAATGCAAAGACCAAAGGTATCACACCCAGTAATACTGACTCTGACGTCAAGAATATGGAAAAATAGGCCTGATTCATACCGCTGACGTCACTTGCTGCCGATGCAAGGCCAACGTTTATTACTCCTATAACGACCAAGGTTGCCAAGGAGATGGTTTCGATGGCGTTGACAGGAAACTGGGCAAAAGGCTTCTAGGATATATGATGCAAAAGGAAAACGAGGCAGAGGATTGTTAGACACACAAAACGCATAAGTGCATGCTCCAACTACCACCAAGCCATCGCAATTATGAGGATTCGACGACCAGTAAGAATGCTCCGCCCAGTAGATCCTTCCGATTGATTGGTCATCAAGTGGCTTTGTAAATGGACCACATAGAACTTCAAGAAGTGAATGTTTGATACTTGTGGAAGAACTCGTGTCTTGTTCATCCGGTGTTGCTTAAAAAGCAGGCAGTTGAAGGGATTGCTCGATAATCAGGTCTCTTGGTCCTGATTTTCTTTACGTAGTGAAAGAAAACAAAAGGGAGATAGGGAGAGGGTAGAATGCTGGCCAGTAGAAACATCTTACCTGAAATCTCGCCGTGATAGAGTTGTAGTGAAGTGAAATACAACGTGAATATAAACGGCAACAAGTTCAGGGCAATGACGACAAAAAGCAGCTTGCTGCCACCATTGGCACCAGCAAATAAATCTGGTATCGTAATACCAGCGGAACACTTCAGTTATTATTGACAGAGATTTGAAATTCCACGAGATTTGCAAATGGTAATACCATGTTATGTCTCAACAGATTTCTCACACCATATGACGAGACGTTTAAAACTCCAGCCACTTGATAAAGTAGAAGATAATTTTTAGAAAGCCATGATTTGGAGAAGCAGTTATTCTGACAGTGCCGCGTAGGCTGCAAGTAACTTGATAATTCTCCTCTCTAGATCTGTGCCGTGGAATGAACCATGTCAAATGTTTTCCCACTATCTCGAGCACTGTGGGTTTTTCAACGAAATAGAAGGCAAACGATGACGTGAGTGCGAGGAAAAA